AATGCCATGATTTTATTCTCTTTTAGTGTTGAATAGTATTCCATTGTGTGTGTGTGTGTGTGTGTGTATACCACATTTTCTTTATCCATTCATTAACTGATAGGCATCTAGATTGGTTCCACAGTTTAGATATTGAAGTTCACAGAAATCTTCTTAAAAGTAAACTGAATTTTAAATAGAACATCTTATTTTATTTAGATTATGTATTTTAAGAATATAAACTGTTAAAAAAGAAAGAATATATGGTCTAATAGTAATTGTATAAATATTTGAGTTCATAATAAATGAATAAAATATGACTTATCATGAGTTGAATAAAGATTTTCAATTTTTAAAAAATGAAAAATATTGTTCACTAAGCATTCTCTTTCCACTGACCTCTTTAAGGAGGAAAAGTTACTTTTTATATTCTTAATGGTATTAGTGTTAGTATGCGTGTTTTTCATTTATGTTAATGATGAATAACAAATGGAACAAAACAAATGAATTTAAAGGACCTTAAGTCCCCATGATATTTTCAGAGCTTTAGTAAGTCTTAATTTTGGAAAGAGCAGCTTTACTTTTTATATTAAGAAACAGTGGGGGCTGGGGCTCAGTAGTAGAGCACTTGCCTAGCATGTGTGAGGGCACTGGGTTTGATTCTCAGCATCACATATAAATAAATGAATAAAATGAAGGTCCATCAACAACTAAAGAAAATATTTTAAAAAAAGAAAAAAAAAAAAGAAACAATATTTGTGACTAGAAGTGGAATTGCCATTTGATCTAACTATTCTACTCTTTGGTATTTATCCAAAAGAACTGAAATCAGCATTCTATAGCAATACATGCATTTCAATATTTATAGCAGTGCAGTTCACACTAGCCAAGTCATGGAACCAGGCTCAGTGTTGGTCAAGAGATGAACAGATTAAAAAAAAATAGAAGCATATATACACAATTAGACTTAATGATAAAGAAAAATAAAATCATATAATTTGTGGTTAAATGGTTGGAACTCAAGAAAATCTTGCTAAATGACATAAGCCAGAACAAGAAAGTCAGGGGTTGAATGTTTTCCCTCATATGCAGAAGCTAGAGAGAGAGAAAGAACGAGAATTTAAAAAAGGGATCTCATGAAAATAGAAGGGAAATTAGCAGAGGAAGGTCGGGGATGAAGGAGGAAGGGAGGGAAAGGAGAAGAACTTGGGAGTAAATTCAACCAAATTATGCTATATGCACATATGACTGTACTACTGTGAATCCTGCTTTTATGGGTAATTCTAATGCACCAATGAAAAAAAAGTGCATGTAAATAAATAGAAGGAAGACTCAAAGAGTAGAGGAAGGGGAATAGGAAGGAAAGGGGAAGCACTGGCAGATGAATTGGAGCAAATTATGTGCACATATGAATAAGTCACAGTGAACCCCACTATTCTATATAGTTATAATGCACTAATTAAAATATTTTAAAAAGAAAGAAGTTTGTAACATTTACATAAGGGCTTGGTAGAGTCATATGAGATCTAAGCCCAGTTTTAGTTAAAAGTTAAACTTGTGCTTTTGGATTCTGCACAAGGTAGACAAGGATGCCATGATATTTTCAGAGCTTTAGTAAGTCCCCAGTGCATATTAGATACTCAGTGAATATATGTGCAATGAACTAAGTTGCTACTTTTCCATTCTCTGCAAATAATTCCCACCCATTGAGTCTTACAATGGCAGTACTTTGAAGTTGATGATGTGTTTCATATATATAAAAAACTAAAAATAAAGCAGAAGTTATCTCAAAGCTAATGAAACCTAAAAAGTCTCATTATCAGCTGTATGATAGTGAAATGAATCTCATGTGATGATTAGTCTTTTGTGTGTTTGTGAGTTTTTCCAGAATGGTGTTCATAGTATTTTCTCTATGTCAATACAATCTGTAGTCTTTTGTGACTGGTGTGTTTCCCTGACCACAGATAAAATTAGTGTTCATTTTGTGACATCTATCCTTATTTCTTCTCATTGTGAAATAATATTACATGGTATGGAATATCACATCTAGTCATCATTTGAAAGACATTTAATTTGTTTATAAGTTTGGACTCTGGCTTACACTTATATGAACATTAGTGTACAAGTTTTTATATGGACATATGTTTTTAGTTCTCTTGGGTTGACTATTTGGTTACAAACTTTTTCAATTGTATGCTTTCCCCTCTTAGCTAATGATGTTGAAAACTTTTCATGTATTTATTTGCCATTTGTTTATCTTTGTTCTTTTTAAAATTTGTCTTTTCAACATTGAATTGTAATAGTTCTTTTTATATTCTGAAAGCATGTCACTTATGAGATATATGATTTGCAAAAGTGTTTCCCCATTTTGTCTTTTCACTTTCTTGATTTTGTCTTTTGTTTTTTGTCAGGTCATGAAGATTTATTTATTTTTTTCTAAGAGTTTAATCATTTTATTCATTTCAAATTAATTTTATATTAGGTAAGGGTTCAACTTCATTTGCATGTAGATATCCAGTTGTCCAAGCATCATTTGTTGAATGGAATATCTTTTCACCAATAACTTACCTTGGTTCCTTTATCAAAAGTCACTTCATTGTAAATGTAGGTGCCTGGGTATTTAAAAAAAAATCTGAAGTTTTTATTTGGCCAACAAATAAGGTAGAGTGTCTTGGAGAGTAGTTAAACCTTCCTTTTTGAAAGGGGCTCAACCTACCTCTCCATTAGGACCAACTTTCTGGGAGGGTACCATGTAAATTTGTATCATTCTCATGTGCCTTCTTAATTACAACTTTGTTTATGGAATATTCTTCATTTCATGTGCCCTTCTTGAATTTTCTCTTTGTTTAAATTGTGAAACCCAAATATTTTTAACACCCAGCTCTTTCTTATCTAGTTCAATGACGTTGTAAGCATGTTAGAATTAGTCCTATTTTTACAGAGGTTACATCTTTTCTCCCCCTTCACTTGTTTTCAAAGTTTATTTGGAGGCAAAGGTTAATCTTTATTGGAGTCATGCTTATAAAGTTGGGATAGTGCTGAGTGGCTGATGTTCTGCTGATCCCAGCTATAAAATATTGTTTCAGTGAGCAGAAAAACAATTTGTTTTCATTCTAATACACTATAATTCTTGAGGTCCACTGACTTTCTAAAAACATGGACTCAGAAAAAGTGGAATAAATCATAAACTGTTTTCTCTTATAATCCTTTAGTATTAATAAAAAACTACACTTAATAGCATTAAGTAATGGTTGAAGTAGTTACCAGAGTTAGATTATGTTGACTTCTGAAGAGCTAGTTATGAGATTAGATACCTCTAATGTGATGCCACCATTCATGGATATTTGGTTTTGTTTTGTTTTGTTTTTCCTGATGGAAAGTAAAAAGGAATTTAATTTCTCTAACTCTGCTAATTTCAGTGGAATATACACTCATTTATAAAGTATAATTTTGTATCAGTACTATTAGTTTACTAATTGGGAGCCAAATCCATTATGTAAATACTACACAATAAATATTAGAGAATATATATTAGGATGTGTTGTCTTTGTACAACTTTCAGTGTCTTTGTCCTCTGTATACCACCAGAGCAGGCAGTCACTGAATATAGTAATATCACGGTTACTCACAGATTGGTTTTCCAGAAACCCAAACCATCACAAACATTCCTTTAAACCATATGCAAATAATTTTTTTGAACAAGACAAAAGGTTTTGTTTTATATGACATATAGGCTTTCTCTAAGAGTCATTTTCTTCTTTGTAAATTAATTGTCTTCTTTAACAAATAAAAATTAGAAATTGTATGACAGTTTAGGGAACCCAGCTGAAAACTGTACTCTAGTGGAAATGATAGGAAAGTGGGCTTCTTCAATGCTTGGGAGTATAGGAATAGTAGCATAGTTAGAATGATGCCGTGTTTCTCGAAGGGCTTTCTGAATTTAGGGAAGCATGTAATATATACTAAAGAAGGATTTCTATTAAAAATGGCTTTAAATTAAGATCTGTAACTTAGCCTACTATTTGGATATTTGAAAAAAAATTCTTTAAAGAGTACTGTTTTGTTAATACCTTATAAATATGCTTTGATTAGTTTCAGTTTATTTTTAAATTTGTTCAGACCTTTATTTAGTAATTGCTGTCAGATAATGTTCAAGAAAGGGGAGACTCAGAGTTGAACAGAAGGACACAAATCCTTGACTTTATGTATCCCTCTGATCAAGTTACAAGAAGATAGAAAATGAATCAACAATAAATATATGTCATGCAACAATCTACTTTTATTACTGACTGGTAGTGGAAGTAGAAAGAATGAAATTAATGCTTAATGTAGATATTTTATGGTTCCCCAACATTTAAAAAATGTTTTTGGTTGTTGATGGACCTCTATTCATTTTTATTTGCTTATATGCGGTGCTGAGGATCAAACCCAGTGTCACACACATGCAAGGCAAGTGCTCTACCACTGAGCCACAACCCCAGCACCTCCCCAATATTTTTTATGAGATACCCTTTGGGGGTTGCTTGTCCTCATTGTCCCCCTACCTTTGTATCTGTCCTTTTTTTTTCACCACCTGGTATCATCATTTCTCTTTGGTGTATTTTGATAGTCTTATTTTTCTTTTGCTCTTAACTTCCAGAACCCATTCTTGGCTTTCTCTTTCCTTTCTTAAATTTTTTCATTGATTGTTGAAGAACGTGGGAACTTTTGAGGGGTCTCTCTCTAAACTTTATTTTCTTGTTCAGGAATAACAGTATAAAATGCCCAGTTATTGCAAAAGAATGATTAACAGTTTTCCCAGATTTGTTTCTTTAATGGGGTAGAGTCAATCCTAAAAGGAAACTAAGTAGAGGAAAAATGCACCTCATTTAGCTTTTAAAGTAATGACTAGTATTATGGGGATTTATGAGACTTGAAAAAAATATAAACATTTAATTTTCTGTTTTTCTAGTACCAACATATGATACATCAACATTTAAATTACTAAGAAATTTCTCAATACTGCCATTTGAAATTCTCAGGTTGTTATCCTTGCCCTGGGCCAAATATGAATCCTATTGCTCTTGGGAGTCGCTGGCTTGCTTATGCAGAAAACAAGGTAAGACATGGCCCATGTTTGAGTAATATGTAGTAGACCAAATGTTTTAAGAATTTTCTATATTATATGTGACCTGTTGGTGATTAACAATAACAAATATTTATTTTGATTGTGCAATCAATAATTGGGCTCTTTTAACAATTCATACATGTTTGAAATTGTCATTAAACCAAGACTCAGTACAATCCTTATTTTTTAGGCTTATTTCTATTTAAAGAGTTTTACCATATTAATAAAACACAGCATTGAGATTCCCATAGTAGTAGTGAAAAGATAGCCATTTCTGTAAAGCTAGAAGTCAGGAGATGCCCTGTTTCCATTATAACATTGTTATATTGGAAAGTACCAACATTGTTATATTGGAAACAGGGCATAGAACAATTTAATTGACCTTAGACATCCACAACTAGATCTAAACAAGGGTGCAGCCATTTGCTTTAGTAATTAAATCACACAGGCTCATATTTTATTGAATTTTCCAGTTATTTATCAAGTTTACTTACCAAACTTTCATAGTAAAGGAAGATATTAACTTATAGAGTAAGTTTTATTTATGTACAATTCAAGGCAAAACAAATCTAAATTTTACATAAGAAAATGTAATATCTTTTGTCATTTAGCACCCTGCATATGAATACAGAATAAAACCTAAAAAATATTACAGACTTAAAAAGAAGATTAGTATTTTTGTTGGTTGTGTGATAAAAATTTTCTATAGTATACATGTTATAAATTATATAATATATATGTTATAAAACATTATTAAGTAGCTACTGATAAAATCAAGATGTAGTGAGTAAAGTAAAAGATGAAAGTCACAGAACTAGTAAATCTCTACCCTCTGGAATGACTGGGTTTTGCTTTGTCACTCAGTCTAGGCTTGAACTCCTAGGCTCAAGTGATCATGCCACTTCAAATCTCCCAAATGCTTGGCATACAGGCATGTTCTCCTAGGCTCAGCTTTAGTCATTTTTTAAACTAGCATGATTATTATTTTGGGTTCAAATGACAAAAGTGCGTCACTGAAAAAGGACAGATGTGTAACATGTGTCTCCAGATGTGGTGTGTGCTGTGAAAGTACCAAACATTACTTCAGTAGTCTTCTGGCCAGAACTTCATAATCTGAATTTAATCAAGAGAAAATATCAGACAAATTAAAAATAATCACACTTTTAAATTTTTAAAATCATGATTACTTAGTGCACAAATTCAACATACACTTGACAAAACTACCATCCTTAATCATTTCGAGTTTCAAATAGTCCCAGAGTTGGACAGTGGGAGTGCCTTCAGGCTTGTTCCTATGAAATCATGACATATACTCCTAGTTTTTAAAAATTTGTTTACTTAACTGGCATAAGAATATGTCCAAATTCATATTGTACTTATCCTTCCTCAGCCTTGGAATCTGTTTCTGGCTCTCCTAATTCTTTTTAATGGGCAATATTACTTAGAGAATAAACTTTTTCTAGTAGATGTGTGTGTTGCTACTGGGCTGTCTTTGCTTCTAGGCATTTTCCATCGATGAGTTAGCAAATATGCATGACGTGTGTGTGTGTGTGTGTGTGTGTGTGGGTATGTACAAACACATGCATATGCACATATGTGATTTAGAAATCCCAAGTTCACATTGATATTTGCACTTGGTTCTTTCTGGCATTCTCCATTTTATGTTTATATGTTCCTTCTTTAGCTTGGTAGACTTGTGCTGACTTCAGCACATTTATTAATTCTATGATATAAAAAATAATTACATATTCCTTGCCTACACCACTATAAAAGTTAAGCCAAATAAGAGAAATTCATGGTATTTTTACTTAATTATGCCTGCTGCCTTTGCTGCCTAAAACTGAAGGTGTACAAATAACTATTTTCATTAATCTTTCTTTCATCCCTCTCTTTTTTCCTGTCTTCATTTTGATTATGGTATTTTTTGAAATATAGTTGGGTACATTTTTCTTTTTTTATTTATGTGCTCATATATTTAAAAAAAAATTAGTTGTAGATGGACACAATATTTTTATTTACTTATTTTTATGTGGTGCTCAGGATCGAACCCAGGACCTCACGCATGCAAGGCAAGTGCTCTACCACTGAGCTACAACCCCAGCCCCTATGTGCTCATGTATTTTAATACATGTTATATATATTAATTTATATTTCCCTTTCTTTCACAAAAGTGAATGTAGTAGTACATATGCTCTTTGGCATACTAATTTTTTACTTAACAATATTTTCTAGAAATTAACTTGAATGTTTGAATTCTCACTGATCTTTAATTTTGTTTTTTGTTTTTTTTTTATTGGTTGTTCAAAACATTACAAAGCTCTTGACATATCATATTTCGTACATTAGATTCAAGTTGGTTATGAACTCCCAATTTTACCCCAAATACAGATTGCAGAATCACATCGGTTACACATCCACATTTTTACATAATGCCCTATTAGTAACTGTTGTATTCTGCTACCTTTCCTATCCTCTACTATCCCCCCTCCCCTCCCCTCCCATCTTCTCCCTCTACCCCATCTACTGTAATTCATTTCTCTCCTTTTAATTTTGTTTATTCAAGATACAATTGTACTTTTCAGGCCAAAAGTTTTAGATAAAAATTTATTTGTAGAAATGCTGAGTTGTAATCAAATTGAAAAAGTAAGAATGTTGCTTATTTTTACATATTTGTCCCCAAATATTTTAATTACCAGAAGCAGGGAACAGAGAATAGCCTTTCCAAAATATTGCCTTTCTATGCTCATGCAGTAGGAGGCAGCAGAGGTATAATTTTCACAATTCTTTGAATGTGTATTTGTGGATGAATTAAGAAGAGAGAGAGATTCTTTTTATGAGTTAAAATAATCATTTAAAGATTTTTTTTAATTTTACTATTTACATTTGCTAACCACTCACCTTGAAATCTATTCAGTGTAGCAAAGCCGAGATTGCCTAACAGTAGCATGATGTTGCATATCAGATATATAAAGGTGTTCCATTCTATTATAGGAATATTTTTACAGGAATTTTTAAAAAGTAATATGAGTTTTTCTGGGACTGTCACATAGAGCTAGATCACTTGCCTGGCATATATGAAGCCCTGGGATCAATCCCTAGCACTACCCCCTCCCACCCACCTGCAAATGTGAATGATGAAGCAAAATTGTGAATAAAGAATAAAATGATTACATGCTAATCATCATCAAACATCCTGGTTTTAAGCCATGCAAAGCATTTTTAGGTTTAGATATTTAGTGAATTCCAAAGGCTTTCAAAAACTTTTATTACTATGCAGTATTGTTGTAATACTGTACTATTATCAGTTTATTTTTTTAATTAAAACATACAAAACTGGCTGATTTTTTTTTTGTTAAATATGGCAAGTGTAGGACCAGTGAAAATTTAATCCAGGTTTATTGCTTCACATTTTAGAGATTCATACATATCAAAGTAGCGATTCACTTTGAAAATTGGCAGGTTGATTTGTTTATGTCAGGCACGGATGAGGGCATGTCTTTTTTATCCTAATGGTAAAAGCAGTAAGCTCTCTGAAGTGGACCACTAGTGTATGTGTCATAGTTGATTTATGTACAATTTGTGCTGCTTTTCCACTGACACAATTGAAAATGCAAATATGGCAAAAATCTTTTGTTTATTTTTTATGTTTCCTTTTATAATCTTTGTGGAGAAATTAAGAGGACAAAACATGCAATTTGCTAGCATGTCAAATATTTAATGTTAGGAAGTCATGTATAAATCCTTTGATTATGTTTTTGAGATTTATTTGTAGAAAAGCTGCCAGACTCCAAATCCTACCATTTCAGAGTTTATGAATTCTTAAAGACTGTTCCTCTTGTAATTAAAACCGTAGTTGAGCATGAAACTGCCTGAGTGGCACCAGTAGATTATAAAAAGGGGAAAAGTGTCTCAGCAGGGCTTTTAGCTGTTTTGTCTGAAATACACTCATGCAAACATTCCCACCCACCATCATCATTATGCTCAGTAAATAAGCTCTACCTAATAGCCTTAAACAGCTTCATAGAACTTTTTCTGTCTTTTTTCCCCCCAGTTGATTCGATGTCATCAGTCCCGTGGTGGAGCCTGTGGAGACAACATTCAGTCTTATACTGCCACAGTCATTAGTGCTGCTAAAGTGAGTACCTCAGTCTTCTCTAGGAGTAGTGATTATGTGGAGTAATTATCAGGTTTGCTTCTGAAGTGTATTGGCATTGTCCCTTCCATTTTCATTCACATGTGTGGAATAAACTGAAGAAGTAAATCAGAATTTTTTTTTCTTTTTCACTCATGAGAATTGATGATTAAATAATTTGGTATTTGATCTTGAAAGGTAAATAAATTTTCTGTTCTAATGATTCTAGGGTTTGTCCTTATCCAATTTAAAATCTTAAAATCTGTTAACTGGATTAAAGTCTGGTAACTAATTAATACCACATTTGAAAGAAGCTTTACATGTTTTAAATAGTGACTTCTGCATTCTTTGTCTGCTATTTGGATCCTTCTACCTACACTGATTTCCCTGTGTATCTTTGAACATTTTTGAGGTTTTTTTTTTTTTAATACATAAAAAGAATATAATTCCTTATGAAAACTTGAGGCAATCCTCTGGCACATTCAAAGGTTCTTTCATGTTAAGAGCTATCCCCTTCACGTTTGTCAAATGAGTACTTTTTTGTGTGTTGGAGGGTCAATTTTGATGATACGTGGTAAGCTTTATACTGATTATAAGATATTCTAATAACCACTATCCTTTTGAATTATGAAGTAGACAACAAAACAGTTCTAATAATAGGGATGACACAGTTAATCTAAATGACAGCATGTAATAGAAAGCACAACTATTCAGAAAAGAACAACAGTGTAAAATAAACCACAGGGAGGGAATCAAAGGTCACACCATTTTATGTAAAACAAATACAAAAATACTTCAAGATTGATCACAAATGCTTATATGTTGTGTTTTAGAATGTGTTCCTTGGTTTGATGAGAGAAACATTACATATTTTTTACTCAGAAGGAAAATAATGAATGAGTCCTTACACTTATAGCATTATGTATTTGTATTTCAAAAATGTTTTGAAGAATGCTCACTTTTCTTTTTTGCAAAAATAATGGTGGCTATTTCAAAGAGTAACCTAAGTTGGCATAGTTAAGCAGGTTCTTCCGTATTATTCTTTTAGTTTGTAACACATAACGCTGAAGCCTGTGTTTTAGATTCTTCAGACATATCTGTCTCGCTCACTTGGATCAGGATAGCTTATTATATTAGCATTTTGAGTAATTTTCTGTTATAAAGGGGAGGACAACTTTTTGGATTTTGTTTGCTATTATTATGTGTTTGTGTGTTTACATAAAAGAAAAGTGACCTGCTTTGCTCAGTGTTTTCCCTGTGGGTATACTGGATAGAGGTTATGATTAATATGATTTGAAAATAACAGTGTTGGGAACTGTGAGGTACTGTGTTAGGTCTTCTACATTTAGACTGTAAGAATTTATATCTTAAAACAACACATTAATCTAGTCAATTTCCAATAGGTCATGGGTTGATGAGAATTCATTATTAACTTTGGCAATGTTTACTTTGAATAAAGTAATAATTTATTTTAATTGTTTTTGCCTGATGTTAGTGTTGATTCATGTTGATGGTTATAAATTTACAAAATAAAGGAAAAAATACAGCCATAAACGCTAAAGCCCTCCATTTCCTGATAATCATGTATGTCTATGTATGTCTGTAAATGCACATTTAATTTTTAGAATTGTTTTCCTTACAGTTGTGTATTGTACCCTGATCTGGTAGCTTATAGTTATACCTAACTCAGTTGTCATTAATATTTTTGGAAAAATTTTTTCATATCCATATAATATTTGTTTACTTTGTATTCGAGTCAGAGAACATAGATATTTTAAAATTTCCTTAAAAATATTGTCAAATTATTTTGCTGAAACTCCTACCACAGAGTGATCCTTCATTTTACTTTCACAATTTGAATGTTTTTATGTAGAAAATATTGGATAATTGGCATTCTCTAGGAAGATATGAGATATTACTTGTTGGTAAATTGACCTTCGGAGGAATAAAATTGTTCCAGTTTTGCATAGCACCTACAGGGAAATGACTTCTTGGCATTTTAAATATATTCTTCGTTCTGTTGTTGCTACATTATGGGTTGTTGTGTGTTGACTTGTGAAAATTTATCGTGTTGTTCAGTAATTACTGTGCTTTTCTGTTTCAGGGAATATAAAATCTATTTTTAAATTCTCACAAAGAGATCTAGAAACCTTCTCTAGAGAATTTTATCTAAGATTTAAGAATAAACAATAACAATATTATAAAGACACTTCCAGAGAATAAGTGTCTTTTGCCTAATTTTGTTTTATGATGCCAGATTACTTTGATAAAGAAAATTGATAGCAGCATTATGAAGTGGGCTGGGAGGCACACATGAAATCTCAGCTGTCAGGAAGGCTGAGGCAGGAGAATCTCACGTTTGAGGCTAGTCTTAGCTATTTAGCAAGACCCTGTCTCGAAGTAAAAAATAAAAAGGGCTGGGATGGTGCTCAGTGGTAGAATTGCAGGGAAAAAGAAATAATATATAGGAAATTGTGTGAGTCACAGTCAACTTGGAATCATTCTGTAATAAAAGGCTGGTTGATCACTCAAATGTGAGTATATTTTGCCACATTTAGCAGGACAGAATTATGTGATAATCTTAATAAATGAACAAAAAGTGTTGAACACATATTCCTTGATAAAATGTTTTAGAAAATAGAGATTGTTTCTGTTCTCTGGATTTCCATTTTCTCACTTTATCAAATTCACTTAGGTGCAAGACGTCATATTAACGTCTGTTCTTGATAAGTCTCATGTTTGCCTTTTGGGTCTATTTATGTTGCTTTCTCTGCTGGTTCTTATTCATGATGTTTGACTCCTTGTTTATCAGAATTTACTTCAAAAATTTTTGTAAAACTAATTTTGAGTTTGAGATGATAGTGAAGTTCTAGGACTTTGTCAGTTTTGGATCATTTTAATCCAGTTTTGGAAGTTGAGATTATTTTTATTATATAAACAAAGCTCACCTGAATGATTACCATGATTACTTTATCGAACACTAGAAGAGGTTCACTGTTTTGTTGTATATTTCTTAGTACCAACATAAAGCATGGAGAGACTCTCCAGGTAGACCCCCTTTGGCAGGCCTTTGATACTAGGATAGGAGGTCTTTATCTTGAAATTACTTCACTGTTAACTCATTTTCTTCACAAGAGTAATCATCACCCTTTTTCTCCTGTCCGATGACAACTTTTTCTGTGGCATCAAAAGGTTATTTACCTCTTTTATTACATAGAAGGATTAATCTGTGTTTAACTTTTTCTCTCATTTTATAATTGTGAGAATAAAATATATTAACTGCATATGCACTTGGAACTCCTTAGAGGCAGTGATCCTTTAAACATTTTCTGAATTTCCAAATAGCATGTAAAAATTAATCTTCAAACTTTTAGATTTCTTACTCTTTGCTTTTTAAAACAGTTAATTTGACTTTCCTTATATATACCAATGAAGAATTTTCTATGGTAGTGTTAAAGGAAAAATTTTAATATTAAAATTGTTCAATGAGATTATTTTGATATATTTATAAAATCTTGGTCCATATATTCTAGTTTCCTCATAACTGTCATATTATGATGTTTTAAACCCTGTGTCATCAATTGATTTAGTAAAAATGTCTCTGTTTTCTCTTGTTATGTGATGACTTCTTAATGACAACTAACAGTTTTATGAGTACAGCACCATAAGCACTAATGGAGAGTGGGGAAAATGATATGGCATGGGAAAGGTTAATGATGACTAGTGACCCTTTGTTATATTTGTTTATGACAAAACAGAATATGTTCCATGCTAATTTGAATTACAGATCATCATGGATTTTCTCACACTTGTGTGAGTTTTGTTCTGTGAGTACTCTTGTAAAGACTAATCAGGGATCTAGTGAACTTTTAAATGTGGATATCTTGCATCATGAAGAGACTCTACATTTGGCCAAATTAGAGTTCTCTATTCCTGATTGATTGATTGATTTGGTGCTGGGCATGCAGGGCAAGCACTCTACCAACTGAGCTATATCTCCAGCCCTAGAGTTCTCTATTCCTAATCTATGCGTAGCCTTCACCATTCTTGAATATATTTGAGGAAATTATCACATACACATACTTTAGCTACTGAAGTCAAGTGGAAAGACAATTTACTGTGAGGTGATTTTGATTTCTAAAGATGGTATGTGAGAATTGTTAAATAACATGATATAGATTAGTTCTGGAAACTAGTGCTGATAGATGTGCATTATTCTAATGTGGAAAATACATTTATCCTAAAAACAAAGGTCTTTACTAATGCAGAAAAAATTTAACACTCCTGCTTCCCCTTCTTCCCACCCTGTTGTTAATTAGCTATGATAAATAGCTAAGTAAATAGCTAATGATACTGTCATATGACAACAAGAATTACAGATTTGATGACTGTTGAAATTTGGATTTAGATTTTTGTCCTCTAAAAGATGACTACATCAATAGTCATAATTCTTTCAAAAAAAAATCAAGAACTCATGTGATATGAGCCTTGAACTATGAAATATACTACTGCATTTCCCCTTTGTACACCCTTCTCTTGTTTTCTTACGTGAACTTTTATCGTTACCTTGTGGTTTGCTTTGGTACATTACTTTCCACTTTTTATGTGCTCCAGTTCTTTTAGTTTTATTCCTATTCATTGGTATAAGAGCATGAAGTAATAGGCTCAGGGGCAAATGCAGAGGATATACAGCCAAAGACTTTAAAACTGAAAGGCATTCCTTTGATAAAGGGATAGCTACCTCTAAGTGGGAGCATCTCCATTAGCATTAATGGAATGAGTACAGCGGCTGAGGCATCTCAGAGGTTAATCAGGCTTCCTGGCCAGCTCTTGACATCAATACACTGTGGCGCCTGATTCTCTAGGTCCTTCAGAGGCTTACTCGACAACACTCTAACAGACTTTGTGTAAGTCATTTCTTGTGAATTATTGAAGCAAACGTTTGGTTGCTAATTGAGGAACACTAATGTGTTTCATAATCACTGCAGTTTGAGTTTTTAGCACTAAACAAAACAGTTACAATTGATTTGTGGTTTATTTGTTGTTTTCATTCTGCTGTATGTTATATCTTTTTGCTTGAATTCAGCAGATGGCTTTGCTGCTCATTTTATTTAAGTATTTATTAGGAACACATTATTATGGTTCTTAGTTTTTCCTCTCCCTCTTTCCCCACAAGACATTTGTGTTTTGTATCCATGAGCTGTGAGATCACAAGCAGTTGTAAGTGGGAATAGAGTGCAAGGCAGTATAGGATAGGGTAATGGCTAAAACCACCCTCTGTAGACAAGTAGTCCTTGTTTTGAATTCTGGCTCTGTCATTGGTTAGCTGTTTAAGCTGCCATTTTACTTAAATGTCCTAGGGCAATTTTCTCTTCTATAAAATAAAGAAGTCTATCGAGGTAGTTTATGTTAAGAGCCTGTGGCAATCCCTAGTACATAGTGAAGGTGCTGTGTAATGGAGCTGCAGTCAAGTGAGGCATATACTACTTGCATTTTATTGGAAAATTTCTTTGGAAAATTCTTTTCCTTTTTAAATTCTCATATAATTGTTGCTTAATCACATTTACACCTTCATAAACAAACTTCTTTGTGTACCATTTATAAATTATAATTTAAAAAATTGTGTGTATAATAATTTACAATTAAAATTTTTGCTATAGTTTATGCCTGAATATAGGTGATGATGTTTTTCCCATAATTATTTTAGAAGAGTTAACTCACTGAAGAATAGTTTAAAGTGTATTAATAAATTTCCTCACTACACAAGAATTGTGAAAATGTGCATATATTGAGTTTTTGATTTCTCCTTATGATCTAGGCTGCCTATCCTGGTTCTGATTTTCAAATATTTGTTATTTACCATGTTTGTTTGTTTTGGCTTTCTTCCTTTCACATGGAAAAATAACCCTCTTTAAAACTATTTTTATTAATACATCTTATAATCAGAAGATATTTACATACTAGATAAAATATATATACAAGTTGGCTTTAACTATTTGTTCCGATTGAAGTGGAATTAAAATGCAGTTTTAAAAAATATTAATTTATCTTTAATTGAAATAGTTGATTAGAAGTACTATGTTGAATTATTTTCTGTTACCCGATAGAAAAGAACCCTCTTAGATAATTTAAAATGATATTTCATTCATCTAGTAATGATGTGGAGACTATTTTCCACATCACAACTCTTGGCATATAGTATATATATAACAGCACATTATAGGTTTATTTGAGAAGCATAGTCTCTTTTCACATAATTATTCTACCAGTAACTCAGTCTTTTTCATGGTAGAAAATAGATGTAAAATTAGATATGTAATATTTCCAGAAAAAAGAATATTACAATTTTTACTTCTTTTATGTCATGTATTTTAAGATGCATACAGTAAAAGGGATGAATAAAAGAAATATTTCTATAAAATACAATTTATATGAAACAGATCTTCAATTATGATCATACTCATTTAGTTATGGCTTTATTCCCATTGTGCTGGCTTTATTAGATGCCATTTCTTTCAAGTAATACTGATTTTCTAATGAATATTCAACATGGTGAAAGTCAGATGAAACATCTATGACAGTTTGCTGGTGCAAAACAGATTGTAATAGAATCAATAATTCAATATAAAATAGGATAATTAGTAAAGTTCATATTTCTATTTAGAGTCCATATGTTGATGTGTGGTTACATATTTTGCCTTTCATTGTATAGACACTGAAAAGTGGCCTGACGATGGTTGGGAAAGTGGTGACTCAGCTGACTGGCACACTGCCCTCAGGTGTGACAGAAGATGATATTACCATCCACAGTAACTCACGACGGAGTCCTTTGGTCCCAGGCATCATCACAGTCATTGACACTGAAACAGTTGGCGAGGGTCAGGTAAGAACTGTGGGTGTATGATATTTGTGCTACCTGCAGAGATAAGGGCTAAGATCAAGAACAGTCAAAGGATATTTTGCCTAGTAGATTAATAATTTGGAATTTTAGAAATTAAAATTACTTAGATCAGGTGATTTTTTTTTTTCCAAGAAATGATAAGTAGGTAATGTATTACACCCGTTCAAACATTATTAATACATCAAACCTAACTATGAAGTTAAGGTTCCAGGAAATTCTCTTGACCTCTGATTCAGGACATTTGTTTGATAAAATAGTAATTTTGTATTTCATTACATTATTCTGTTCATAATACTTTTTTTTTTTTTTACAATGGTATGTCACCCAAATCCTAAGATTAATATATTTCTTTCTAAAGGCATAGGTTTTCACATAAAACAGTTAGCAGGATTTTATGTATCTGGGGGAATTTTAAAAAAATTAAACAATGATGGTTACAAGTTACATAGTGAATAATATCAACATTTATAACCTATTTCATTATAAATATAAAAAACAATACATGACATTTTATAATAGTGTGCCAGAAAATAATAGCTTGTTGTCAAATACTGTTATCTTCGGGTAAAACAGTTATTTTTAAAATCTAGGTTTAGAAACATTTAGAAAGGGTGATTGTAAACATGGAAACTAATTTATGCTTGCATCTTTATCTTGTTGGTAAGATGTTTCTGGCAAAATGTATGTATTCCTCTCCCTTATCCTCCACTATGTATTCATGAGCTGTTTCCTTTTGTATCGTAGCCTTCACTTTGCAAATACATTTCTAAAAGGAAGTTAATTTTTTGTTCTAGTAGTTTGTGATCATTGCTATAACACATAATCTAAAACCAATTTCTGGAATAAGAGTAGAACTGCATTTGTGAAATAAATTTGTTTTGCTTTCATGTAAAATATATATTATGTATATAGAAAAAAATGCTTAGAAACTGTGAGTCTTTAAAGTATTATCATTTAATATTGCATGGTCCTTTCAGAAAATCTATTTGCACTATATATGCAGGTACTCATGTTCTAGTTTGTGTTATAAAAGATTGCTTTCTAGTTCAAGAAAAAGTAAACTTTGCTGCAATTAAAATAAAAAATTTCTTTGAAATTTGGGATTATTAAATTTAGATGTTTATTTTTTTAAAAAAATTTGAACAATAGTAATTTTTTACCCCTTCTACTTAACTTTATGGTTAACAAAATGTCATAGGCTTCTTTTTCTTTTTCTTCTTCTTTTTTTAATGAAGTTCTAGGAAACTTTACAGTTGACTATAATGACTTTCTGCGTGTGTGTGTGTGTGTGTGTCTTATCTGATGTGGATAGACACATATGTTTTCTTTTTAAATTGGAATTAGACATATAAACCTTTAGTGTTTTGAGCATTAATGTAAAAAAATTTCCTTTAATTTTCTGATTCTTAATACCAAGGCCACCCACATATATTAGGTAATAACAACTATTCAACATTTTCTATGATTCTAAGTATGTTGAAGAGTGTTAAGTCTATAGTCATTTGAAAGTAATTTCTTTTTCTTCTTGTTCTTCATTACCTTTTTGTGGGTGGGGATGTGGCTTAGTGGTAGAAAGCTCACCTAACTTGTACAAAAGCCCTGGGTTTGATCCATAGTACTACCTAAAAAAAGAAAGAAAGAAAAAACCCAACAATGGTAACAACAAAAAACAAAATAAAAACTAGCAAACAAAATGTCCACCCCAAATAAAAACAAAAAAAGGAGTTCTCAGCTGAGTGTATTGGCCCAGGTCTCTAATTACAGCTTCTTGGGAGGCTGAGGAAGGAGGATCACTTGAGCCCCCAAATTTAGGGACAACATAGGAAACATAACTAGACCCTCTCTCTTTAAAAAAACAAAACCCCCAAGCAAACAAACAAACAAAACCTTTGTTCCTTGTCCTTTTACTGAATAAATTTTGGGGAGGTTAAAAAAAAGTGTATTTATTTATATACAAATTCTTGGTTACAGTTTGTGTAAATGGATTATAGCTTGTGAAGTTACAAAAGTTTTCTGTAATGAATGACTAGATAATGCTTGAAACAAATGTTATTTTTTTAGGAAGAATCATAGAAGTGTTAAGTTTTAAGAGTTAAAAATCTCAAATGTTCAAAATGATAAATTTCATCTTTTCTATTTTTGTTTGTGAGCTATATTATGACATTCCAAAATTTCAGCTTACTTTAAAAATTACAAGGGAAAAGAAATGGATTTTCTAAATTATATTTTTTCAAACAGCAAATTCCTACAGTAAAATACTGTTTCCATTCTTTCCTTAATGTGCATCTGTTTTTTGTCAATAAGACATCTTCGTCTCTGATAAATATTACAATTGGAGTACAAGTCAAGGCTGTTTTTAGGTTGTACTTTATTGTATTAAAAAGACTGCAGTAGTCAGTGCCATGGACTTATCGCTTTTACTCCTTCCCATTGATATTTCACCATAGCTGTGATGTTTTTCCTTTTCCATATATATCTCAGAAGCTAAACTGAACAGTACATTGACTTTTGTTGTTTAAATCTATTGAGCCTTTCATAAAGATATTTTTGTGTTCACTGTGGTAATGTATAAAGTCTGATTCACTGTCGTTGTATCGATTAATTTGATTTTATGGTGATGGGATTATTGTGTGGTAAGTGCATTAAGGAGGAATGGATTTGATTGACTTTGTGTCCATTTTTATCTATGTTACTTTCATGTTTTATTTAAAAGCATTTCTTGACTAAGATAAGTTAAGTGGTATGATTTGTCTTTTACACATTTATATAATTGAAGTTAGCAATGTGGTAAAATCTGTAATTGAAATAAAATGCTTCAGAATGATGACACAAACCTGTTTCTTGCCCTGAAAACAAGTGTCATTTATAATAATTTAATGGTTTTGAAGATATATTTTGTTCTTATGGTGAAGTGAAGGCTTATCCACTTTTTATCAATTAAAGTGCTTTACTTTGTCTAATATAGTCCAGTTAATGTTAGAGGTCCATTGGGCTTAGGTAAATGGTGAGTAAAGATACTGAGATATCTCTGGTATTAATGATTTGATTAATGGTTTGATGTTTTAGGCAAGGTGATGATTTAATGGAGAGGATCCTTCTAGAAGTATATGGTTATTTATATTTACAAATTCTGTAAAAATAAGACTCAAAGAACCTTATTTTAGTTAGAGGTTTTGCCATGGATCATATCTAACGTGTCTTTTGATTGGGTGGCTTCTGTCTTCATTATTGCTATCAAATGCGTGCTCAATGCTAATTATAGCTGGGCATAGTGGCATATGCCTGTTATCCCAGTGGCCAGGGAGGTGAGGCAGGAGGATCAGATTGCAGGTGCAAAGCCAGCTCAGTAACTTAGTGAGACCTTTTCTCCAAAAAAAAAAAAAAAAAAAGAAGGGCTGGGGATGTAGTTCAGAGGTTAAGCTTCTCTGGGTTCAATCCCTGATACCAAAACACAAACAAACAAATAAAAAAAACCTGATTTTCCTAGAAATATATATATACACACACACAGTGTAGGGTTATAAAATATGATAGGAATGGGATTGTTTTTATTTTGAAATAAATATAGAAATGGAAAAAATGTAGAAATGACATGAAATCTATATACACAATTTCATTTGTTATGAGGATTGTAAGTTAAAACTGATACAATTTTTGATAAGCTTAAATATTTATTCATTCATGTATTTATTTATTTTTATGCAGTGCTGAGGATCAAACCCAGTGCCTCACACATGCTAGGCAAGCACTCTGCCACTGAGCTACAGCCCTAGCCCAGATACCATTTTTCACTTATCAGTATCTGAGAAACTCAAAAGCTTGCAAAATATTTTATTTTTATTTGTTAGTTTTGAAATAATCATAGACACAGTAAGTTGCAGATCTGTCCACATGCTTTTCACCCCACTTCCTCCCACTTTATCTGAATGGTGACATCATCATGTCTTACAATATCTTACATCTCTATAGTGCGGTATCAAAACTGGAAATTGGCAATGGCACATTACTATTAACTAGGTTATAGAGCATTTATTTAGCTTGTTCATTTGTACATAGATGTGGGTGTTTATAATTGTATTTTTGTTTTTGTTGTGCTAGGGATTTAACTAGCATCTCTTATATGCCAGGCAAGTCCTGTACACAGTTATATTCCCAGCCCAGTTCTATAAATATTTATCCCTTGAACAGTTTCATGTAACCACCAGGATAATTAAGATATGAATCTGTTCCATCCATAGTTACCTCTTTGTATTTAAGCCATCCTTCATTCCACCATATCCCTTTCTCCAAGAAAACACCATAAGTGTGTTCTCCAACTCTAAAAGTTTTGTGATTTTTTAAAAGAATGTTCTATAAATGAAATGTCATATAGCATATGACATTTTATTTCTCATGTCATTATCGACATTCTTTAGGGATATTTTTATCTGGCATAGAATTAACAGCTTTCCTACTAGAGAGGGTTTTACTTGAATTGTTTAGAAACTGAAAACATAAGCATGCCAGTGTTCTTGTCAAATAGTAAATTTGATAAGGAATGAGCAGGCACAGTATACTTTCCTGGTAGGCTGAAATTGCAGTTCATCTTATGGCCAGTTGAAGAACAGAGAGGAAGCTATTGATGAAATATGAACAGAATCTCAGAGGCATTTGGGCCAGCACTATATAAGCTGGCATGTTGCTATAGTTTGGATATGAGGTATCCCCCAATAGCTCACTTGTGAGATACTGCAACAAGGGTTGGAGGATGAATGATTGGGTTATAGCCTTAACCCAATCAGTGAATAATTTCCTGATAGGATTATCTGAGTGGTGACTGGAGGCAGGTGGGTTGTGGCTGGAGGAGGTGGGAATTGGAGCATGGCTATGAGTATATATTTGTATCTGACAGTGGAGACTTCTCCCTCTGCTTTCTGATAATGATGTGAGCTGCTTCCTTCTGCCACACTTTCTCCCCATGATGTTCAGCCTCACCTTGAGCC